GTGATCGTTAATAAAACAAGCTGAAGCTCAGTAAAAATGCGGAAAATGGGCTAACGAGGCATAATGCATGAAGCATATAGGATTGGGAACGATTAGAGAGAGATAGAGAGATAAACACTGCATCTGTTCTGCAAGCGGCTAGCCCCAAACACCTTTGGCACTCGCTCTCGTTGGATAACGAGGCCGCATTTAAGTGTGGTTGCTTACAGAAATGACGAGCACACCTTCCCTTTGCTAGCTATTTTCTATTTCTTTATTTTTAGAAATACATCTGTAGTGAATTTCAGGGCTAAAAGCTGCAGTCTGCTGCCTGAGAGCTCTTTGAAGCACGTACATGACTTGTATCTCCGACGATTAAAAATATAAAAAAAGTGGACTTTTGCTGCTGAATAACCCCTTTGGACGGCATGCTCTGGAGGAGTAGCATGCATAGTCAAGGTGTCAACATCACCTGTAAACGCTAATTCCGGAGACCCCGAGCTCTTTATCGTTCCTTCGTACTGCAAGCCACGTCTATGAATACTGTGAAGAATGCAGCTGCTTGCGCTCGCAAGCCACTTGCTTTCGAACTAAAATCTCTAGTGCGAATCATTTCTGTGCTATATTTAGAGTTTGTGGAAGAACATATTATGGAAGAGAAACCAACATCCCAACTTTCTGGCAAGTAAACAGCTCTTTTTTTTATTCTCTTGTGGCTCTACAAACAGGTTGTTGCTGATTACTCTTTCCCTCTAGTGAGACTTGCTTTATCCTGGTAAATGCCAACCGCGGCTGCATTTTGTTCAGAGCTTTCTCAGTGTTCAGTCTGCAGAGATTTTCCGATTCGGGACGATGGTCGTACAGCCTTCAGTACGAGCAGTACATAGACATATATTAGATGTGCAATGGTGTATTGTTGTGTTCCGTATTGCAAGTTCTGTATGGGGAAAACACCCCGTGCTTCTTTTTAGACATTCCCAAGCAATGCTGAACTGTGCGCTAAATGGCAAAAGAATATTGCGAGAGACAACCTCATCATCATCGACAAGTCTGCATCGACTGTCGTATGCAGCAGACACTTGCGCGATGTAGACTATGTGCCTGCGTGCTGCATCAGAAAACTTCTTCCCGACTTTGCGCCTACTCTCTTGGAGGAGTATCCTTCCTACACGAGACCAAGTGCAAAGAAGCCTCGCAATGATCGTGCTTCAAGAGATTTGCCCTTACGCCAAACATCAAGGAGGCGAAAAGACCAACAAACCATATGTGGATGTTGCGACTTCACAAGATGCGTTCACTCAACAAGAAGCAGTAATTGCTTGTATGAAAACAATGAACAGCAATGCTCATCACGCAGGTCGATACCTGGCTATGATAGGAAGATTACGCTCCTAAGTGTCGTACCATCGTTCGAAATGAGAAGGTGCAGCAGTTGTTGAAAGAAGAGGAAAAGGCGCTCGTGTATTATCACGAAATCAAGCACCACATGTGTGTTAAGAAAATCGCAACAGATGCACAGAAAGGAGAGACAAAGGCCGTGTTTCTTTTGCATCAAATAGAATGTTACGGAGATAAGCATTCAGCTTACCCAGAAGAAGTTGTTAGGGAGTGTGTGATATGGGGCTTTCTGTCCCCAAAAGGCTACGATCACGCTCGCACTTCGGGGATTCTGACACTACACTCTTCGGATGTATATAGGTCCAAGCCCAACTTCATCGGCTATGAGCAATGCTATGAAAGACCGTCAGGTTCACGAGGCCTCGCTAATCAGCAGCAAACAACATATGGCCTCATTAATAATAGATGAAGCTAGCATAAAACAAAAGTGTATCTATGATAGGAAGGCTGATGCAGTCTTTGGCCTCAAGGACAAGCCAGAGAGTAGCATGGCGAATACAGTGAAAGGAGCTTTTGCGAACAGAGTCCTCTGCTTTGTGCTGCATGGTACCACTAGTCGGTACAAGATTCTATGCTCGTACTACTTCATGAAGCAACTGAGCGGTAGAGACCTCTTTGCATGGACGAGGGAGGTCATTGCTGTTGTGGAATCATGTGGCTTTATCATCAGTCACATTGTCACGAACAATTATTCAGCAAACGTGACGATGTTTAGGCACATGGGTAATGGCAACCTCAACACAGTTGTATGTCATCCACACGACGCCAACCGCGTTATCTTTCTGAATTTTGACCCGTGCCACGTGCTCAAAAACGTTAGAAACCAGTTCCTCGAGCGTGAACTAACAGATGGCACAAGGGTGATTAGTGTTGCGTTTGTGCAGAAACTATACGAGCATCAAAAACAGAAGACTGTGAAGCTGGCCCAAGATTTGACGAGGAAACATGTCTTCCCTTACAATTTGGAAAAAATGAATATGCTGCAAGCCGTTCAAGTTTTCACCCCTTAAGTGTCTGCAGCCGTAGAGCACCTTCAGCGAAATTCAACGGGTGCTGCCAGAGATTTCAAGGGAGAAAGTTCAACCATTTTCTTCATGAAGTCCATGAAGAAATAGTTTGACAGCCATGACACTTTATTCAATGGAAGTGGCCACAAAGCTCCCATTTTTATGAGCGATGACAAACGCCTACTGTGGCTGAAGGGTGAGTTTTCTCAAATGTGGAAAAAATACAAGAGTTCCATCGAATCAGTGAGTGCTGGCATCACCAACGAGACGTACAAAGCCTTGCTTTTTACAACAAAGTCGACGGTGGAAACAACAAATTTCCTCCTGGAGCAAGACGTCAGTTATGTCCTGAGAAAGAAATTGAAAAGTGACCGCATCGAAGCAATCTTCGGAAGGGTGCGGTCAATGTGCGGCAGGAATGACATGCTGGATGCTAGAGCCGTCACCGCTGCTCTGGACCACACCGTCAAGTTGCACATCCAAAGACCAAAAGAAATCAAGTTATCCAATGCGGAAGTTGAGCAAGAGACTGTGATGATATCGTATATACTTGATAAGGACCTGAGGTCTTTGTTAGAGTACACGGCTTGTCCGTCTCCATCTGTCACCTTCTCCGGCTTAGCATACCTCGGCGGTTACCGTAATTACTCGAATCTAACGCGCACCTTTTTTTCGGTTAGGCGAGTTCATAAATCGCATGCGCATTAAAATCGATTGCGAAAAAAAAAAAACAATACGGTCATTCTATTGCCATCGGCATTTCCAAAATGGCCGCCCCCTACAAGCTTTGGCATGGCGCGTCGGCCATTTCTGCCTATGTGTTTCGCATGTGCGGCACTTCGTACGTGTGCTGAGGAGTTCGTCATCTTGTAGTTCATTAGCATCGACGGCATGGAAGGGCCGACTCCAGAAACTCGACGAGTGCACCACGATGCAGCTTTTAAAAGAAAAGTCATCGCATGTGCCGAAACAGACGGACATCGGGCCGCATCGCGGTCATTCGGAGTTCCCGAAACGTGCGTGTGAGACTGGAGGAAACAAAAGCAGAATATTGTCAAAGATTCATGCAAAGGCTTCAGTGAACCACAGCAGGGTCGGTTTCCGCAAATTGAAGAGCTGCTCGGCGTGTATGAGATTGAGCAGTGAGCGGCACAGCGGCCCGTGACGACAGAACTGCTCCAAGTGCAGGCTATGCAGTTAGCCTTAGAAAAAGGGCTAATGCCGAGCCAGTTTAAAGCGAGCAGGTGCTGGCTAACTAACTTTATGAAGAGGACAGGCTTTTCCCTCGGAAGGCGAATGGGCATATGCCAAAAGTTACCGGAGGAGTACGAAGAAAAGCTTCACAGTTTTCAGAGGTTCGTCCTAAACTAGCGGCACAACAACGGCTACCTGCTTGGGCAAATCGGGAATGCCGATCAGACGCCTCTTTACTTTGACATGCCTGGCACCACAACTGGCGAGAAGAAGGGGGCGAAGCAAGTTCGCGTGCCGACATCGGGCCACGGTAAAACTAGAGTGACGGTAATGCTCCGTTGCACATCAGATAGGCACAAGCTTCCCCCGTACCTCATATTTAAACGGAAGACGCTCCCGAAAGGAGTCGTTTTCCCGAGTGGTGTGATCGTGCGGGCCAACGAGAAAAATGGGTGCGCGTTGCAATCGATGTCTTACTTTTTTTTTTTCGTCGTGGAAACCGGGTGCGCGTTACAATCGAGAGCGCGGTAGAATCGAGTAAATACGGTACATCGCCAAGCTTATTACAGACCTCGGATGCAACTCTTGCGCTGCGCTGCTGACGACCAACAACAAGCAGCATCAGCTGTACAAGCTGCTACGAGCACGAGAGGGGCGAACTACACTACCCGAGGCCCGAGTTTGTAGCTCTTTTGGACAAGATAGTGGTCTTTTTTGATAAGACCTCTGAACACCTGCCAAGCAGAAATGTGCTAGAAGTTTTGCAAACAGGAGTCCAGCTGTACTTGCAACGCGCTCCCATCTTAAGCTGGCCTGAAAGCGTCGACGACAGCCACTCGCGACGATCCGCAGATCTCATAGCCAAAAAATTCCTAAGAATTCTCCTCGTAAACCACACGAACCAACTGACTGACGCAAACGACAAGCCTTCCACCCACACACAAACCGACTAGGAAGCAATTTAGGCTGTGAACAAGACATTTGTGAAGTCCGGCAAAGTTTTTCACTTGAACATGTTCAACTATTGCCAGTGCTTATGAGCAATACATATTTATTTTCAAACCTCAGAATGTCTACACGTTTGATGGCGGAAAGCTGTACTTCGGGCTCTTACATTTACACATTTTTCAATAAACTTAAGCTCGATGCACCTAGCGCAAATAAGAAGTCAAAACAAACCAATTCTGTGCCTTCAGCAATTAGACAACTTGTTTTCCAACACGCGATGAGTGGAGAAGCGGGCCTGAACTCATGTGTTCGCGCGCTGTACGGAGCGGCAAAAGATGGCAGGGTCGCAGCGCCCCCCTCAAAGGAGTGGCGAGAGGCATGTGGCGCCACTGTGCACAATCCTCAGTACAGTAATAAGGACGTATTACCACGCTTTCTATAAGCTTCAAGTTCCACGGGGGCCCTCGTCCATACCTGTGTCATGTCCTCGACATCGTTGTCGTCCTCGTCATCGACCACATTGTCGGGTGTCGAAAGACTCCCCAAGATGCTGTCCTCCTCCTCTACTCCACTCCGCTGCCAGCTCGATGCCGCTTGAGCCAGGGCCTCGGCCAGTGCCTCGTCTTGACTGTCCACTGTTCGCGTTTCAGAAAACAAGTGAAACACTTTCAGATCCAGTGCTTGCACTCTGCAGAACTCCAGAGAACTGATAGCATTTGCTGGTGGACACTGTAGAAGAAATTAGCACCGTTCCTGCTTCCAAAGCTGCTGGCACCTCCATGTAAAATCCACTCCTCTACAAGCGATCAACTCTTCTGTCATCGCAACTTACCGACAGAGGTCCCTGACCCTCGAAGTTGGCTTGAGAGAAGGTTACAATGACTATTTTGGATAGCAGATGTCTACTAAGCAAAGGGCGAATTTTTTAAGACATTTTCATCTGCTCATTGATATGAGCCACTGGTTGATATGAGCCATCTGGTGAATAACATTGCCTATTGATCGGTCATCGTTGTTTTTGTCACACACGACAGCCCTAAACACCACTTTCGTGAAATCACCCACTTGACGAATTTACAACGAATTTACAAATATTACTACACAGTCTTTAATGAATAAAAACCTTTAAGCATACTGAGACACATCATTGCATGTATGCTACCAGGGGCCCATTCATGATTCTAGAGAACTCTGCAGAGCTCCCCAGAAATTATTCTGCATGATTTCACCTAAAAGTAGTAATTGGTAAAACTAAATGAACCTATGTAGCGGCCACAGATCCAACATGGCAGGCAAAGATTTTAAAGAAAAGATTTTAAGGTAAAGATTTTAAGGATGATTCACGGTTAACAGATAATACCCCCCAAAGCTTCGCCCCATTCATCGTCATTCACTCCGTGGATATGCTGCGTTTTTTTTTTTTTCTTGAAGTTGCGTCGTCCCGCTGATAGGTATTCGCTACAATCAGGGCGCACGGTTTTGTTACTTTAGCTGGTCGATCGCGTCTCGCGAGTGCTCTGACCTAATGGGAACATATCTAACACCGTGCTTTAGGGTTAGGGTCTGCGCGCTTGGATTGAATGATGACGCAAACTGCAGGTAGCCAATGTGACGCCGCTATTTATCACTGCAATTAGTGCAACTGAGAAAATTTTGAGGCTGGTCAGGCATTTTGATGCAGCATAGTGCTATTTCGACAAATTTCATGGTTTTGGCGCAGCTCTACAGAGAAATGGAGATTTGTATCAAGTTGGTGTAATTGGCGCAGCTGTTGCACTTCTGCATATGATCGTCGTATTTGTCAGTCTATGAAGAGTTTTGTGCACACGCCGTGCAGATGTGCCCAGGCGCAGTTCCGCAATTAGCGTAATACAGCAACGACAAGATTTGCTGTCACCATGGGTGTCACAAAGGGCCATTCATCGTCGTATTGCAGCCTCCTGCAAAACCACAAGAAATCACTTGTCATCCAGAAAAAATCGTGACGATTTCCGCAACATGGTAGCACCCCTTGTTCTCACTATAATTTACAATTCATGTTTGTTATCTACGCATACTTCAAAAAACGCAAGATATGGGCTACATTTTTTACAGTAACCTTCTATGGACCGCGAGGGAGCAGCCGTATTTTGTTGTTAATCTTGTTATTGTTGGTTTCTTTTGATGCTTTGATAGTAGCTTGCTGCAATGTCAACGGCCGTGGTCATCACGGCCGTTGACATCCTCACGGCGGTTGACATCCTCACGGCGGTGACCGTTGACGGTCATCACGGCGGGCCGTGATCATCATGCAAGGCTGCCATGAAATCGGCTAAGTGCGCAGTAGCGTCGTAGTGCACGTTTCTGGGCGCCCCTTAAGATCACAACTTGAACAACTGCGTGAAAAGAAAGCTGCAACGCACTTTTGTAGAGTGCGCGGGCGTGGCACAGGAGCAGCACCTTCAACCACCGAAGATGAGTGAAGTGCAACAAAGGAGCTGTTTCCAAACAGTGTACACGTACACATGTCAATCACAAAAAGCTAAGCGACCGTTTTTTTTTTTTCATGACTGCATTTCTTCTTTATCCAGAAAAAGTTCGCATAAAATTTGCCTCTCATAATAAATGCCTCTCCAACATTGCTACGATTTTTGAACAAAAAAAGTGCGTTCACTACGCGAGTAATTGTGGGTTTCGCACTCATAGTCTGGAAAAGTTAAGACCACTATATTCAGAGCCGTGTAAAGAAAAACACCTCGTCAAAATCCTGGAAAAGAAAGAGTGACATCAATCACTTACTCAACTTTCTTGCACAACTCTATATGATAGCCAAAGTCATGGGAACAATAAATAAGCATTTCAACTTTAAGACAACTTCAATCTTACGCTAAGAATATATATAGTAATCACTAAATGGCCCCGAAGCACAAGACACAAGTGAGGAAGAAACACTCACAGATCCCATGGGAAGTGTCTAGCAGCGAGGAATGGTGCTTTTTCCTGGGCTGCTTGCCGAAGCCTGAGGCCAAGAGAATGGGTGAGAAAAAGAAGCAACCATCTCCCCAGACTATCGACATGCCCACCTACCCGTTTGGTCCTGCCTGCAAAAGCGAGAGAGAACAAGTGGCCCATTGTCAAACCATGCCCAGGGTAGTTTCATGGGTGCCGTCTAAAATTCGAGCTCAGCCGAACAACAGGAAACAGACATTAATTTACGACACACAGGCAGAACCATTGTTTCCTGCAATGAACATCTGGCTCCTCCCCGCACCAACACCAGCTCCATAGCTAACAGAAGCAGATACAAGGGACAATCCACATCTTCTACAAATACAGTCGAACACGGATGTATCAAACTCGAATGGGATCAGAAATTACTTCGATACATGAAAAACTTGATATCAAAAAATAGAGGCCCCGAGAGCTCACCTGTAGCGAATCATCACCTACAATAGGTGCATTCAAGAATGACAACTGATTCCGCACACACGCCGCAACAGGACGATTTATTTGCGTGAAAAAAAATTGCTAATCTTAGCCTGCTCCTTTGTTTTTGAAATGTTAAAGACCCTAGTCTCGATCTTACCAAAGCTGTCCTGCTGAGACAGCCCAGTTCTCCTCCATGCGGTCGATACAACATCAAGTGATGCCGAACCCTGTCGCCACTTTAGCGGCGAAGTACGCATGTGTAGCCAGCGCCTCGTCTGGACGGTCTTCCTCATCACTTGAGTTATCGGCCTGCGCATCCCAGGTCCCTCTGACTGCAGCTATTATGTCCTCGTCAGTGAGGCTCGCAATGGTCTGGAAATTGCAGTCCGCTTCCACAAGTCGTCCACAGACACGTGTGGAACTGCTGCCGGGAAGCAGGACGACAACTCATGAAACACGTCTCCTATGCACTCATTGTCGTCGTTTTCACTTGTTTCCACACGTTACCTCGTCTCGAAGCCTGCATTGCGAGGCTGTTGACCACTGTGTCCGTCTTCACGTCGCACCAGGCATTGAAGATCTCTGCGGGAGAAAACTTTGCGGAAATTTCTGGCCACATCATCCACAGCTAGATGTCCTGGTTGCTGACAGCTTCGCTTTTGCCAGAATTCGTTTTGCCAACAATGCAGTAGCGCTGCTTAAAAATGTGAAGCCACCCGGTGTTTTCGGGGAAGTTGTTTCACTGAGGGCAGCGGCCTCAGCATGGGGTCTTGGCCGTCAGCATGGGGCCATCCACTGGAATGTTCTTTGTGCGCACTTATAAAACCAGGCATGGTGTCTTTTCTACGTTCTCGTGGGCAAAAGCGCACACATGACAGGCTCCCAACGTTCACTGCTCTGCTGCCTTTGCTTTGATATCTGCTTTGTTGTTCAACAAGGTGCTCAGAGTGCTCTGTGGTATCCTGAAGTCGTCCACGATGGTCGAACATTTCTCGCCCGCCTCAACACGCTGAATAGCCTTCAACTTCGTCACAAAGTCAAGGGTCTTGCGCTTCTTGACGCTGGCCATAGCTACACGAGAAGTCGAAAATTCGAAAATTCCGCAGCGGCTTTGCACAATGCTGCACATGCAATCGTACGTAGGAGACGCGACAACAGAAGCAAAGCGCTCGCGACTTGCGAAGCGATTGCTATCTGCCAGTGCAACAGCAAAAAGCGCGAGTTGTGGTTGGGTGATCAAAACTCGAAAAACGGCAACAAAAATACAAGGCAAAAGAAGGAGGACGTCGACTCCTTCGTTCTTGCTCTCCAAGCTGACGGGTATGTGGAGAAAGCATGAGAAAGAGAAAGAGAAACGAAAAAAAACAAGCGGTTTCGCAAGTTAGAGATTGTGCAGTTCGAGCCCTCCCGCCCTTACGTTCTTGCGAGCATTTCGGGTTTTGACGGAGCCGTAGTGCCACGAGGAGGTCGCCGGGCGTGCGAGTGCCAAAACGCGGTCTTCCAACTCGCGCGCTGAGCTGTGCTGCTGCGGAGTCCGCAGGGCGCGGCGAGTGCTGAAACGATCCTTCCAGCTCGTGCGGCGTTCGATATATTGGAAGGCAGGTAAAAATACTGTTTGATTTAAATGTGCGAATTTTTATACTTATACACAGACATTTCAAGGGGATAACTTACAAGTTCAATATACCCAAAAATTCAATATATGTGGGTTCGATATTACCGTATTCAACTGTAGCACATAGGTATTACAAGTACTGAGTTTTCGCAAATACAATTAGAATGAGTATGAAACAGTACCTGATTGCAGAAATTAGTTCTATTATTAAGGGGGAGGGGGGGGCAATACGGAAGCTTGTAAATGTTTAATAAATCTTGAAGGGCCAGAGTAGGGGCTAGTTGGTTGTACATACTTCACACTTGCAACATGCTGTCTGAACACAAAGAAAAAGCACACAAAACATACGTAGCCCACAACACGAGTACGAAAGATCGTGTTGTATAATACATGTTTTTGTGCATTGTTACGAAGACGCGACACCAACACGGTCCCGAACGCGCCACTGCTCCGAACTCCGCCGACATGGTCACCAGCCGTTAGGTAGCGTGTGTTATTCAGCTCACGACTGCTTCTGCGCAGAGCTAATAGACGAGCGGACGAGACGACGGTGAGTTAAGGTAAGGTATATGTACAGGATAAAAAAGAGGCGTTACAAATTCGGCACTGGGGCCGACAGCTTAGGGACTCGAAGCGCCGAGATGTCTTCTCTCGCACGCATCCGTCAGCTTCTCTCTCTGTTACGAAGCGCACCGCCGACGAAGTTACGAAGTGCGCCACGACACTCGCCGCTGCCAAGGACAACGGGCGCGGCAACTGCGTGGAGACTTGAAGCAACGAGAGGCTTCTCTGACACATAGGTCTACTGCTGGTGACGCGCCGCAGGGCTTTTTTTATAGGCACCGGGTAGATCCTTTGAGTCATCAAACGTGCAACCAGAAGCGCCGCTGACCGGGATGTCAGAATCCTTCAATGGGGACCCCCCGCAGCGCGTGGTTGCGCCCAAGGACGAGGGATGTTGCCACGCATTGCACAAGACTCGCCAGACTGGAAGGCGCCGACTGCTTCAACGGCTCGTGGGCTGAGGAAGCTCGCTGTGCGTTGTGTGACAGACCGGCACCACCACTTGCTGACGTCGTTGAGTTGATCGCGTTAGGCAGGCTCGACTGCTGGCCTTGACGCAGATTGCCTTTGCAGAGGCATTGACGTTGGGTGTGGACTCGCAGGCGTAACAGTATCTTTCTTTGTGGTCAGGCAACACGTCACGAGTGTGAAATAAAACTTGTTGAATCCAACAAGTTTCGAGTTTCGGTGGGCAGTAAAACAGTTTTGTCTATGAGTTTAGTTTTTCCCCACATTTGAGACTGAGTCTTTCTGGCAAGAATGAATCCCCTCCATATGGTGGGAAAAAGGATGGTTCGAGGGTCTCAGTGATTACCGTATGCACTCGCGTAATCCTCGCACTCGCGCAATTCTCACTCCCTACCCCACGCCCCCATTAATACCATTTTTTTTTTCAGCAAGTAATTATCGCACCTCCGAAAATTGCAGCCATAATGTCCTCTGCTCCTTCCAACCATTAATGATGACAGCGCACGACATCCTGACGCCATCTCTTAAGCATATTCATACTATCAACGCAATCCAGTCGAATCCAAGCCAAAGAGGCAAGTGTTTGTTGTGATGTCTTAGTACATTGTTATGTGGTTATACTATAGGGCGATACAGAAGCTACACAGCTGCTTTCAAGTTGAAAGTGACTGATCATGCACTAAACAACGGCAACAGGGTTGCCGGTAGGCACTTTGGTGTCAAGAAATTTTGTGTTCACTACTGGCAACGGCAGCACAGACAGCTGAAAGCCACCAAGATGTGCTGGGCCTTCTGTGTGCCTAAGACTGGGACAGATGGTAAAATTTTATTTCGACAGAAGGTAGCTGAGGATGATTCCGTGTTAGACGGTCGTCAGCCCAAGATTGACGTCGTACGCTAACCTTTTGCGGGCTTCCATTGAGTGACAAAGACTAATGCAACACCCACAATGCCTGCAAGCTTTGTGTATGGTATTCAAAAACTCCCAATGGTTTGCTTGCATCTTTTGTGCCTCAAATATATCTTGCCTTGTGTTGAACCTGTGGTTTTATTGGTAAGATAAGTCTTAATTAGTATTTCTTAAAGCTTTTAGTTAGTTGCTAGCGTGAAAATTTGAACTTGCAGCCACTTCGTTTTTTGTTTTGTTTTTCTCTCGCTTTACGTTTTGCAGCCAATTTTCGCCGTGTAATTCTCACAACTTCTAATTTTTCACCGGTCTTTGCGAAAAAAACAAGTGTGAGGGTTATGCAAGTAGATATGGCAACCTTCAGGGGGGGGGGGGGGGGGGGAGAATCGGGGGCAAGCAAGCATTCTATCACCGCTGTTCAAATGCGATCTGAGAAATGGCCCATCAAAAGAGTAAGTATGCCTTTAGCAAAGAGGTCATATGTAACCATACATCACACGTTCAGTAGCTATGATGAGACATGAAATATGCCATCCCTACACAGAACTGGCATAAAGGAAACCAGTGCCCAAATGCAGACACGCTAACTTAGGATGGTATAAATTTATTTGGAATGATTTTATTATTACCACACGGCGTACTACACCTTGTCAGTCATGGGTCCCCACACGTACACAAATACGAGATCACTAGTTTAAATCTTTTGGAAAGAAATAGTTTTAAAATATTTACTCATGGCACATCTTTTATTGTGTGCAAAATGAATGCTCCAGGGCTAGAATATGTTTTGTTATTTCGAAGCTACCACTGTAAAGTGTGTTCGGTGACTTTCGGGCTATCATTTTGCCAAGACTCTGCCAGGTGTTCCTTGAGAAGCCTTGAGAAGACTCAACATAGCAAGAGGCACTCACTCTTCCACCACTGGCCTGCTCAGTAGCTTGTCAAGCCTGGCCAGGTAGAACTGCTCACTCTCCGTCGGGGGGAAGCTGTCTTCCTCTGCAACGAACAAGTACAAAAATAGTGACTGGTGGATAGAAGGTTACACATGCAACGAACAAGTTCTGCAGGAGCGCTTCAGCTGGACTAAAGTAGTTCCGAACACACAGATGCCCCCCCCCCCCCCCCCCTCTGCACATGGTTCTGCATTCCAATCATGGGTGAAGATAATTTGTATATAGATGAGTGAAGAGTTTCCCTGTAGACATCATCACACTTCCATAAAACCTTGCAGTACCATATCTCGAGGAATATGCACATTCAGGGTTGTGCGAATGTTCGAACTGCTCAGCATATTTTCAATAGTGTTTGCTACACTCAGTGGCAATCTTTCTATGCAGCATGTGGAAGCTACAGCACTAATGCGCATGCTTGCAACCGCACCAAAAAATAGTAATCAGGCCTACTGATCATATTCTCATTTGCCTTGTTCAAATAAATATCGCTTCATTTATTATGAAACTCAAACGGTTTCGGGAAGTTGAAGGTAAAATACAGTTACCGTTCTCTTTGCAAGAATGCTTTCCTTGTCTTTCCATTTTATTGACGGCACCACCTTTCAGCACAGCCGTTTTCCAAACTAAACATGGCGTCTGTCACTTTAGAGCATGGCCACAAACAGGCTGTTTAGTTCTCCAAGGAAAATACATCAGCAATATGACACGAAAACGTACACAGTACGATCTAATGTTTCATTCACATTCTTCGTGTATGCAATTTTCTCGGGATGTCTACCAATTTGATATTTCTGAATTCTCTGACTTTTCCAGAATTTCCATGATGATTAAAAGCAAATTCCATGTACGTCTGCTTGGAAAACTTTGCGCACTGGAAACAAACACTCGAGTGATGAAAAAAAAATCAGGCGCTCCATATGAAATAAGTAAACATATTTACCAGACAAACTGAGAATGTTCCGAGCGCATGCGGTAAATGTGAAAAAAAAAGTATATCTGGCAAAAATAAAACCCCTGAGCCAGGCAGTGAGCAAGTCAGCTGTTTGATGCTCTGAAGAGCCAGGAAGCAAACACACAAGCTAAAAGTAACAGAAGATGAAAGTTTGAAAGAGCCTGCGATAGTACAATATCGCAGTGAAAGCTGATGGGAAACGTAAAAGTGGTGCCATCTCCAGGGATACATGTAAAATGAGGACACGGGAACCTGGGCAGTTCTGCCACTGGAGTATAATTTAGATTACTATAATGCTTGTAGCCCACGCCGCTTAGGATGTGGAAGGGATTAAATTAGATCGACCTGAACTGCAGTATTTACTGACTCAACTATTTAGAATGTGGATTGGACTAGATTTTATTCGACCTAGATTGCTGTGTTTACCATTGATTTAGGTCCTCACCTAATTTGTGTACCTCAAAAATATACTTTTCAGCACAAAAAAAATGAATAACTACTACTCACGTATTCCGTGTACCTTGCCTTGTCAACGAGTAACGACTACATTGCAAGAACAGAGCCGCACTGCAAAATTTTTTTCTTCCTTTCTCCGAGCACATGGATGTTTGTATTCTATGTCTCTGGGCTCTGACACTTGAAGTGCAACGAAAGTCCCCGGACGGCTGCACGAGACAGTTGGCACAAAACGCGAGACGCGAGCATGCGCAGTAGAAGTGTAGGCACCACGATCGATACCGGATTTACGAGCAGGAGCAACTATTAGAAGAGTGGACATCACTGTTGACACCGGATTCCCGAGCAGGAGTAACTATAAAATGCTCGGCATTTAAAAGAAGCTTGCATCATATCTGCACGAGAAATGCAGATACAGACAACTGTAGATACGCTGAACAGGAGTGACGGGATGCTTCTGACAATGTACTCTGGCTACTTATGCGACATATTCAGGCGTACTTAAGCACACTATGCGTTTCTTATGGCTTTTATTGTGAACAAGGCTCTTTGCCATATAGGGTACTGAAACGTCAGTAAACTTTGTGTTCTATAGGCCAATGTATCCTTTCACATTTACACTCAGAAACAAGAGCTATGCACTGTCTTTTTTTTTTTCACATGCCTTCTAGCAGCTCACTGCATTTGCAGCTGAGAGAGAGACTTTGTAAGCTTTGATCAATGGTAATGCTAATTTTTTGTGACGGTCGCACAGAACGTTTGTCAGTTTCCATGACCTGGCCAGGTTTTTCGGAAATTTCCTAACTTTTTCATGTTTTCCAGGTTGGTAGACACCTTTTTTCTAGACGTGTTAACAATCTGAGCAAGCTAAACTGGTATCGGCCAAAAGCTACCATACTACTTGCGGAGCAATATGAACATGCAGAATCCCCACCTCCATAGCTTTTGCTTCAATGTCAAGATAAGTTGTTGCCTGTATACTCGATTCGCACCAAAATTTCAATATTCTATGTATTCAAACTTCCAGAAAGTGACCATGATGGCTCATAATAACGAAAACAAATGTAGCCCTAAATCAGCATGCAGCATGCTTGGTCTTGCATTTTGGGGTGTTAACTTTTACCAGTACTTTGATCACTCACAACACCACAAGTTCAGCGGGAGGGGGAAGGGGGGGCGGGCTGTGGCCGGTGCATAAAATGCCCATCCATGGTACCAAAGAGCCCATGCGTGATGCGATTCATGGCTTGCGACCAAGTGCAGTGCGGCCTCTTCACTTGTGCATGTCCACTAGCGCAATGCTCCTACTCATCTAGTTCAGATTCGTACATCAACACAGTGGGGGAAAAATGAGGCCTAGCCTTGACTCCAAGCAGTAAGCTTGGTCGTAGTGTGCGGAGCCACGGTGCCCAACATTTCAAAGTACGCCATGCTCGATTGAGAGTACAAAGATTCACACAGCATTGGCTTTCATCTCGAGGTCCTCAGTGTTGCTGGTCCCCTCTTTTGGGAGTAAAAGTTTTGATCATCATGATCAGTGTTGCCACGACACTAAACATACGGTAGCAGATTTTTTTATTGAATATCAGTAAATATCATCAGATATTAAAGTTTTGTCTTTATGCTTCGTTACTGCTTTGCTAATTTAGCGCTTATATTGTTAATCTAGTAAATATAAGGACTTTCAGATTACTAGTGTCCCATAGGTGTCAACCTAGCACGATTCAAAGCTGATTAAATATGCAAAGGTTTCTCGTGGTACTTAGCACGTTGAAACAGGCATGACGAACCACCTGCTGAAGAAGACTGGTGGATTGAGAGAATAGCCGCGTCATTTGCAAGCAGGGGTGGGTGCAACATTTTTCCGAGAGGGGATCAGCTTACGGGAAGTGCATGGTGAGCAATGGAAGCCCCTAACAGATCCTCTTGTTGGAAGTAAGCAATAAAATTAAGAGGGGACGAGGCGGTTCTGCTTGCCTTTGCCTGCTCTCTGGACCCACTCCCACAAGAGTGTTTTACAACGCCAGTGCTTTGATATAGATGCACCTCAAAGTACTGCAGGCAGCCAAAAATTCTGGAGCCCTCCATTACGGCGTCTCTCATGATCATGTTGTGGTTTTGTGATGTTAAACATCAAGAATTATTACATCATAATATATCGCACGCCATCTCTTCGTCTTATTACGTCTTTGCGCGCTATTTCCCTTAGAAGCATGTACCACGTAGTCAACGTCCCCATGGTGTTGCAATATTTCCCCATCGGCTTTCTTGCCTCGGAGCCATAAAGGCTTTTCCAAAAGCAATGCCTGAATGTCACATCTGTGAGCAAGTTCTGCTTATTTTGTACACTTGGAAAAACAGAGAAGTGGCAGAGAGAAAAAGCAGGAGAGTATAGAACAAAAAAATAATAGTAATTTCTTCCGGTAGCTGTGGTCGAAAAGGTCGTTTGCAACTTCGTTTGCTAACACATGAGCAATAAAATTCTTGCAAAATGCCGATGTGATTCCGAAAATCTACAAGTGGCTTTCCTGCAAGAGCACTTCACACGCACTAGCACTGGCTAACAGGCACGTTTCAGGTGTACAGTGAATTAAGCTGTACACTGCACAGAGCAAATAGGAGAAAAGACAAAAAGGAAAGGCAGGGACACGTGTTGATGGAAAAGCATTTTTATTTTTATTTTTTTGTTCAATTCTGTTGTGCAAGCTGTTTGTTTGAAAAATACTTGCTCACGCATTCCTAGCAATTATTTTGCTGTGTCATTTGAGTGAGCTTATGGCATTCCCTCATCTTTTGTCTGTCAACACATGGCACCACATCAAATTAAACTCGACACCGGAAAAGTAGCAGCTTTTGCGATAGTTTCTGTAGAAAATAAAGTCAGTAAATTTAGACGCCTTATCACTCAACAGAAAATTTCAAAAACCAGTAGATCTACTGATAAATCAGCAGCCATGGCAACACTGAGTCTGAAGTGCTGATAACCAGGACAGTTTTGTCAAAGACACGCATGTGCGATGTTTGCGATGAGCAAAGCACACTGTCGTAATCTGATGATTGAGCTTCTCCTTGCCACCGCCAAGCTACAGCATAATTAAGTTCCAAGTGATCATCGAGTCATCTACACAGAACAATTGCAAAAGCATGACCTTATAACGCGGTTTCCGGCAGCAATGACTTCACAATGCGCAAAACACAGATAACACTCTCTGAGCAAGGATCAAACCAACAGCATGGCGTGTTGGAGCAGCATGCGTGTTGGAGCAACATAGCGGACGCAGTCAATGGGAGTCCTCGAGACAGACCTCGCACATTTGCGTTTTGTATGCTTGTTTCTGAATGGAAGACCTAACTGAAGCGGAAAATTCGAAGATTGATAAATACTCTTTCCGATTACCACAAATAGGTTCCTGGTTGCGCTACTACAGAGCTACAATTTTTTTTTTACGCCAGTTTTTTTTCTTTTTCAATTTAAACAATGATTTTTGCTACCTCTGCAGGTACAACAAACTTTTGCTGTTGCAGGTAGTTTTTAGCGAAGATATTTTGTAATAAGAAAATGGGTTACGGAACCTGAAAATGTGATTCATAGAACATCTTATCAACCAAGCCAAAACAAATGCTTTCATGCTCTCATCTCGTAAGATTATGCTTAGGGATCCTCTGCAACTTTTTTCTCCGCACTTTTACCTAAGCATTAAAAAAATATTCGAGAAATATTACAAAGTTATCTGATTCAATTGCACTTAAACTATTATTCAAATTCCCATCATACTCAAAATTTTGCTGTCCACATGACCCAAGTAAATATGTTTAAAACTTTTGTTCTAGAACCCACTAACAACATTTACGGACACAGTTCAACGACAGCACATACCTAGCGAAAGGGGTTCCCATGAGACCGGTTCCTGCCGCCGGTCTTCTTCTTCTTGCCACAGAGCTGCCAGTCCCGGGCTGAGCACATCTGCACAACCAGCAATAACAAGACAGTGCAGCTACCACGTGGAATGGCATCAGCAAAACACAAGCAGGCTCACTGGCGCAGGGTGAGCAAAGTGGCTGCAAAGGTCTGGCCACACGCATGGCGAACAAACTAAACTTACAAGGGAAAGCCACACCTGCAGGAGCATGGTTCACCACAACACTGGTGATCGTGGGTGCAACCGCAGTTGACAAGCTAGCAAAACAAAACACGTATGAGGTACGCTGGCTATTCTATTTTTTGAAGTACTCTGTTTCCAATAATGAGACACAGCGTAGTGATGACAATCTAGCAAAACAAAACACGTATGAGGTACGCTGGCTATTCTATATTTTGAAGTACTCTGTCCCCAATAATGAGCACACAGCGAGTGCACACAACACGGCAGCGTCACCAATCGAAGCCCGTGTCCACTGACACTGAACGAGCATAAAACAAAAACTTCGAGCATGCTCAAAGTATAGTAAATATTAAGACATAGCATTTTAAAGACTATAATTTGCATTCTACCAAAAGTCAAATCCTGCTACTATTCAAAGTTGTTTCGGCTCTCTTTGATGCAAAAAAAATGGCATTGGGGCAGGCCTAGTTTCAATTTTAAAAATATATTTATTGTGCAGTAACGATGATGACAAATATGCCTCTTTGCCTTTATAGTCTGTGATATAAACTATTCGAATTCAATTCGAAGTTATTAGACCAAAATCACTATTCGCACAAGCCTACAAATTGTTGCTATTGTAGTCATCATTTCACCGGTGAAACAGATATTTATGTTTTTCAGCTTTTATGGTTCGACGATCTCCATTGTAGAGCGCATGCTGCGTGCTGTGCTCAGCGGTTGTTCGGCAGCGGTGCGGTGAGTTTTTTGCAACACCGCTACCGTCTTTAGGTATGCATACAAACGCCACCTTGACAAGATTCATGCATTTTGTTCACGTGGCCCAAGATTCGTGCATGAACCGAAATACGACGTGACCAAACTACACTGGGTAAAGATGAGGCTGCATCCTTCGTGTAGCCAATGCGTGTTGCTCGGTCGATGTTAAGATGCAGCTACATTTGGCGTAGTGCGTGCATATTGCCGTTTAGCTGGAGCTTGGTGAAGCAGATCAGATTGGCGCAGAATGACGCAGCACTTCCACACCTACATTCGGTGCAGAAACTATTCTGACAAACTCTTCTGAAATGTGCAGCGGATTTCAAATGAGGACACAAGCATACAAACGGTACATGCCAAATTAATTAGATGTACCAGTAGAGGTGCTGAAACACAGTTAACAGCAGCCATGCTCAAGAGCAGACGAAAAGAAATTTCACATTTTTCACAATTTCACTATTGAATGAACTACTTCAAATTTACATTTAAAACTGCTTCCAAACAGAAATGATGGTCTCATGCGGTGGCCTTTTTTTTTGTGATCATTATATAGCCACCATTAACCAAGCACAGCATTATAGCTTCTCAATTATTCTACTCATTTTCAACTAGCACAGCACATATAATCACTTCTGCAAAATACAGTCACAGAAAATTCTCGTGAAATGTAATTTCACACTGCATTTACTAAGGAGAACATCTGCTGTTGGAATTTCGCGATTGCTTAAGGTATGAGGGGTAGCGCATGAACAGTGCAATCTATATGCTAATAAGCAGTATAATTACTCATAGTATGAATTATGCATTCTCCCTTTAAACATTTAAGCAATCACATTTTCTTTAAACAAATGGGAACGACTGTTGGCCAAAATGCATGATTTGTTAAGAACTTGATTATCTTTATTGCAATAAGCAGTGACTGAACTCAGACCCCCGCAAGCTTTGAATGCCATTCCACACCAACTTCCACACTTTACTACCATTCTCTCAAATAACAATGTCACAAGATTTGCCCTTGACAATAACTTTCTACTGCCAAAAGTTCGCACCAATTATGGTTAACAAACCATTCATTTTTCCGGAATTTCTTTTTGAAATAGTTTACCTTCCGACATTAAAGTATGCCGTTCCCTGAAGGTAATTAAATCGAAGTTAAAAAATCATATCATGTCAACTAACTAGCCTGTTTTGCTGTTTCTTAATTGATTCCTGTTCATTGTGAGTTGCGTTCTGTAATCACTTGTTATTGTTTCTGTGAGATTACAAGAGTATATTCCTACTTTATTTGTTTCAATTGCATTTTACTGTAGCTCTGTCTCCCTGCTATGTACATCACAATCATTCTCAATTCTACATTGTACAAGAGGTCCCCTTGCAGTCTCTGACTATGGGACCTCTTTCTGTATATCATGCACATGTATTCTTCTTCATTTAGCACAATAAAACCTTCTGTTCTGTTCGACTAATCACGTTCACCGGAAGCTGAGTTCAGAAATGCATACAGGCTTTACGTTTTGGACACTACTTCTACTTTGCTCAAGCGAATCCACTCACAATATCACAAAGCGATCCAGAGCACGAAGGAAACATTGTTTTGGATACATCTACATACAGTGACTACACCGCTGATCTTTCACATTCTGGTTGAATTCCCACGCTTTGAGCCTTCATATACATCAGCACATACTCTCTCAGATAATTCTTTTAGGGACTCCCCATGGTTTGTGGAGGCCAGGCATAAAAGCCTTAAATTTTCCAAGGGAAGAATAACAAGGTGGTGATGCCGAGGAAGCATATAAGCCAACTGTGAGGGGAGCTTGAATCCAATGATTCATTCAGTGCCTCCACAGCACCTTTCTCGTTGGCGTTGAGTATGTCCTTGGCGCAGCAGTCCAGCTCCAGCTCGCACGTTGTCTGCTTCTCCAAGTCTCCAAACAGCTCCCTGTATAAACAGTACATGAAGTCACTAACCTATCAACACAACAGGAAAAAAACGGAATGTAGGGTGAACATGGCTGGGGTCACTCTCCCTAAACATCTGTGGTGCCCTCTGGGCATGGTGGTAACTGAGGAGTGAGTTCTAAAGGCCTAGATATAGTCCGGCGTGTTCAACGCATGAGGTCACGTGTGCCCATGTAAAATACGCTAGGCACGTGCAGCCAGCAACGGCAGCCAATTCATCACTCTAGAGCCTCGTGCACTCACCATACCGCAGCGAGCTGTTTCGAAGTGGCGCATGCGCACTGTCTTCGTCAAACGTGTTCGCAGCCTTTGTAGCTCAGCGTTGTTCGGTTGCCACGTAAACAATTTTCTTGCTCTTTGCTTCTCAATCGACACCTTTTCATTGATGTACATTATTTTCTCGCTGCGTGCACTGTTGGACTTCGCATCAGGAACATCTTGCCTCACAAGCATTGCTTGAAATGCTCAGGAAGCCAGAAAATAGCTACTGAGATCGCATCGAAAACGAAAGCGGACCTATGTACATATGAGAGTGCATTACGAAGGTTTCCCAGGCATTTATTTTTCTTTTTGTGTCGCAGCTGTCCACGGTGTTGCTAGCCTACACGCACATGTCATCTATAATCTCTTCGAGTAGACACAGAATAATGTGGCCATTGTTCAATCTCGAGTAAACCACGGCCGCACTTTCCAAACGCGCCTCACGAACCGCCATTTTGCAGACCACTTATGCTGCGGGCAGTGTATTGTAGTATAATGACAGCGCGTGGAGCGCGTAAAATAGGAACATGCTCTATTTCTGCACCGATGTCGCCAAGCACGCCAAACTACACCGGGCGCGTCGGCTATGCTGTCACACCAAACTATAAATTCTCCCCTTTTCTCTGGTGTAGCCTAACTATGTCCACTTGGTCACGCATACGCTCTACGCCGGACCCTATCTAGACCTTGACAATCGTGACGCATCATAAAAAGCCACATATGAGTTGCAAAACTCTCCGTGGGCTCCTTGTATGAAACTACAAACCCATCATTGCCTGAAACGAGACTGTTTATTGTGATGCCACCTGTAGGCCACAAAATGTGCTAATAAATTAATTTTTTGTGTGTTCCAGTGCTCAAGCTCGCAAGCAATGCCAGATTGATGAGGCAAGCAGCATGCTTACACTTGTGGCTCCCATTTTATCGATCATACTGCAACCATACAGGCTTTCAGCTTTACTGGAAAGCACTTCTAATTCTTGCCGCAGTAATTTACACAATGACAGCAACGATTTCATTTATCATGGTGATGTGGTGCACTTTCTGTCAACTCCAGGTGGCACACCAATTTACTATCTTCGTTTGAATAGCAGTATTGAAAAAAAAAAGCCAGCTATGGGTCACTACCAAAACGGTAAAGACAAAACAAAAAGAGAGGCATTTTATCACTGATTGATATGGTTGATAGATGCCGGAGTAGAGGACTCTGGATATTTCGACCACCTGGGTTCTTTGTGCACCCAAATCTGAGCACACAGGCCTACAGTATTTTCACTTCCATCGAAAAATGCAGCCGCCGCAGTCGGGATTCGACCCCATGACCTGCGGGTCAGCAGCCGAGTACCTTAGCCACTAGACCACCGCAGCAAGGCAGGCATTTTATGATAACTTAAGGCCAAGCACTTCACCGTTTTAAGCGAGGTTGAGTTGACTTCGCAAAACAGAGAATGAGGTTGATGAAGCATGTTCTGACTGAATGTGAAGATATTCGCCCAGGTGTACATTCAGGCACAAGCCTACATGAACCCTTGGGTTTTGGGGTAAATAATTGAAAGCTCAACATACCCACAATAGAAATAAGTAAGAGACGTTAGAAGTATTGATTTTTTTCTCCTTATTATTTCACAGAAAATTATCTTGAAAACATATTGGCTGTTTCCAGGATATCACAGTGGTGGACTTGGAACACTTTTTCAAAACTGAGAGCACACAGGGCTGACTGCGCTATCAACTGGCTGGTCAAATCCTGTGCAGCCAATAAAGTTGCAGAACGTTCACGACAGCATCACATGAGGCTAAATAACATTTATTAATGAGAACGTTTCTGACAAATAAAAAACGAGCTCTTAATTGGGAACGTGCCTTTGGGAACCAACTTTTTTGTTTCTGGTTGGATCTTGATGAATATTGGCTTCATGTCCTTCCATAAAAGAATGGCCTCATAGTGCTTCCATAAAAATTTCGAGGTGATACCACGAAAACTCAATGAGAGACAAATTATTTCTTAATTGAACCTCGTGTAGAGGCTATAGGATTTATCAAATGATGTAAATAGTTGGTAATTACTGCACATGCTGCCAGCTGTATACTGAAAGGGGCTGGTTTCTCAAAGTAATTTTTTTGCAATACTAAAACATAGTGCACGTTTTCTCTAGTGCCACTGCAATGAGCACACTTGCGCTAAAAACAAGCCCTACAAAAAATCCTTAAGGTAGTAAAATGAAAAGATAAGATTACAGCCCCTTGCAGCACAGTTCAAGGAGTGTCACAAGACAAACGGAATCAAAATCTGTGCAGTGGTTGCCGAGATATCTGCTCCACGAACTGAGCATAATGCAAAAAAAAAAAACACTACAGACAAAACTGCGTTTAAAGTTTCACCTTCTCTTTAGGTTTCTAAGACACCTAAAAATTGTGATCTTAGGTTTGTCTTGTGATAATTGACTTCTCAGACATGTGGCCTTTTCCCAGTGTGCCTTCGCTGGTTTTTTATTTCATAATCTCCTTCTTTTCATCCACAAAGAACAAGAATGGGTTTCAAACCAAGTTATCTGTATGAAGGAGTGGCGCGATAGGCACGACAGAAAACATTGTTATTGAATAAGGCAATATACTGAAATTATTACACCTTTCTTGTGTTCAAGCTGTCGTTAACACAATTAAGCACTTTTTGATTACAAATAATCACTGATGCTAATCTACGAGGCTTTCATTGTTTCCGAACATTCATAGACGCTCACAGGGATACCAAGCACAGCTCCAAGCACGTCTAAATCGCATCACTAGGGCTTATCGACAGCACTCCATGTGACCGTGAAGTGCGCGGCTGCGTGGACAGTGCAGCTGGCCCGTGATGCACTTGGCGGCGACATTCGGTGTCGAGGCTCGGAATGTGTAGCTATGATGACAAAAATTGGCACACACTGTGCTTAGTATTGCATTTTCAAGTGCTGACGTGGGAAACTGCCTGCCTCTGTTCTGAGCAATAGTTGACAGTGAAGGGGAGGTTGACGAGCTTGATCGTCAGGGGTCCACTGACAATGCGTAAAGTACCCGTCCGTGGTTGATGCGAGTGATGCGAGTGAGTTGAGCTAGCGAGTGATGTGCTTCGTTGTATGCAATGAAGCACGTTGCCACGAGTGCGCTAGCGCATTGTTCCTGCCTGCAAAAATCGAGGTTTGTCTCGCCGTCAATGAAGTTAGGCTTAAGCACGACCCTTATGGCACGGCACACGGTCTGCAAGCACAGTACACCACAGTAATGTGATCGAACATACGCTTACAGCTCCGAACTAAAGCCCAATCAAATCCTGAGTGACCGTCGAGCCATGAACATGTCACGAAGTAGCAATTTAGAAATTTCCAACAGCCATGTCCTGGCGACGCACAAGCAGCAGACGACGATCTCCCGGGGCGAGCATCGGGCCAATGGCCAGGTGAGCTGGGGCAACATAGCGGACGCAACCAATCAGAGGCCTTTTAACATTCCTCAAGTATTTGCTTCATTTGCTTTTTGCACGGTTCTTTTTGAATGGAGAAGCCAGCTGACACAGGGAATTCGAACACGGAGAAATGCTCTTTCTAATGTGACAAAGAAGCTCACTCCCGGCTGCCCCATCCCGAAGTTATAATTTTATGAATATCGCTGTTTTCTCCCAATTTCTAGAGCAATTTTCGCCACCTAGGAAGCAAAACAAATTTTTTGAAACACTTCTGTGTAGTTTTCAGAGTAGATAGTTTGGAATCAGACAGAAAAAAAAGGTTCCAGAAACTAAAACTTGATTTTCAAAAGATCGATTTTTTTGCCAATTATCCCGATCCCTAAGTTGCGTACCCCCTTAAGGGGGGCCACTGTACTTGAGACGAAGTGCCAGATATTTTCGTGTGTTTATAAAGACAATGTGATTGAGTTTTTGATGCTGATTTCAAAAATGTAATTACTGTTTCTCTAAACCAATTAGTTTTTAGATATCCTAAAATTAATTACTTATTGTTTGTCGGTATATTACAAGAGAAATTTGTATTGCAGAGCTACTATTGGCACATGCCTGTGTACTAATGAACATAAGCTACACAACGGTAGGAGTGCTTTTATTAATTTGGTAAGTTTACCAAGGTTTGTTGCACCTTGCATTTCAGTGCTGCAGACACACCTACTTTTTGCTCAAATTTCTGGCAAAAATAAAATTTTTTGAAAATCTCAATCAAAAATTCACACCTTTCGTTGTGTAAACTAAAGATACAGCTACATATCACAAGAAAAATGACAGTTCTAGCTGCTCTGGAGGCAGAGATATCTTTTAGACAAGTCTGCAACTGCAGCAAAATTTGAATCCTGAGAAATCATGCAAAAACACAAGTCCATTTTGGGCAGACAGTAGCATGGAAAAGCTGTTTATGTACAATGATTTGCAAATTCAGCTTTCTCAGTAGGCACCAGGCATGTAATCCTTATGTTTTGCGTCACCTAAATGGCGTTTTTTCAATGTCCGCTGCATGTTTTCTGCAGAGGCACACTTGCGAGCTGATGCGGTCGCCTTGGGCTCTTCTGCCGACTAGGCCGCTTACCAGTTCGGTGACGCCTATGTGCGACGAATGTGCGCACGTAATCCGTGATCCGTCGTATAATAAAGCGGTTTTCCGGCTTGTCCAGATTGAGCTGTTGATGTCGCAGACCGAACTCGGGCACTCGCACATCAATTTTAAGGCTCCAAGAGCAGCGAGGTGTTAATTTCCTTTTCACGTAAGATTTTGAGTGGAGGCCGCGGCGCAATATGTTCATCGTTGCGGACGTGTCATTACAAGTACTCTACCTGTGGCCAGTAGCCTTGATTGCGCGGGCGGCGAGCACGTTCACCATAAATGGATTGATTTTCTGTTTGCCTACGCGCGGCGAACTCCACTGTGACGACCCGTCACGCAGTTCACGTCAGACGGGGGGAACCCACGGCATCGGTGCGTTTAGGGATAAGACTGCGCTTCCGTTTCATCGTTGCAAAGATTGATATCTCTCGTAGCTTCACTTCTGCTTTTTTACTTGCCGTCCTGTAACTGTTGAAGCCCCAAAACACTGCCGCTTTCAGCGACGTTGTTGACAACCAACGGGCTCGTATGTGAGTTAGGCCTACACGGGTGACTCGGCGACCGCCGTTGAACGGCGCGAGTTCGCTATCCTCCCTGTTTTGAGTGATAGCGGGGCTCTTTCTGAAGTCCACTGCGGATGAACGATCGCCACACCCCCTCCACGAATTAGTGCAGTGAGGAACTTCTTTACTGCGGCAGGCAGTCGACAGCACCATGACAAAGTGGCGCATGTTCGTGCGTGTCACGATGAAAAAGCAGGTGCCGGAAACGCCACTTGACCAATCGGGTGTCTAGATTTTGTCACGTGCCCCAAGCAGCCAATGCAATCGCGCGGTGATGCTTCTCGATGACACGTTTTTGCTGAAAAACCAATGATCAAGGCGAGCCGCATGTGACGGGAAATTGAAGATGAACGACTCTTTCAAACGAGACCAAGATGACCATGATAGCTTGTGTGTAATGGCAATGGTTCGGCGTGAAAAAAGCGCGATTTTAGCGTCTATTTGTGCTCAGATTGATCTCACAGGGGTGTTATAAATTGATTTTGTGCCAGAAATCATGACGCGAGAAGCTTGAAATTTCTCAGATAAGTGCAAAAACAGTTGCAGATTCAAAAAATGTCAACTTTAAAAAGTCGTTTTTTTCCCGATTTTCGGCCTTTTAAGACCCGTGTCCCCCCTTAAGCTTACCCTTCTTTCCTTAAGTAACATTTATGTAGCACTGAAGCGGGTTTTGACTTCATTCAAGCGCAGCTGCAGAGAGAAGCAAGCACTTACACGGGCAGGTTTCGCAGGCTCCAGATGCCAGGTCCACTTCCCAGGGCCCTGCTTCTGTCGTCATGCGCCCAGCTCAGGGGTCGCCGGAACTTGAACAGCTCCACGCGCACAAAGCTCATGCCGTGGAGATTGTGGTCCACCATGAACTGCGAAATGATACAGTGCCATCTTGGAGTCAAAAGCATAAGATCGCAACAGCGCCACCACAGTCCAGGCATAAAACAGCAACACGCTGCAGTCTGCCTGATGTCGTTTTCATTTCTGACACAGTAGCCAAATTCAATTGTAGAGTTTTCAAGCAACAAAACCATGACGTGAACATGCAGCAAGGTCAATGAACTGGCAACTAACATTTTATTACCAAAGTAAGTAAGCAACGCCAGAGAAAAAAAGTGACAGCAGGGTCGGGTGGTGTTATACCTACCTGCAAGGCATAGGGAATGTGGGCCTCGTGTGGTTGCATAATCTGTTTCAGCACATGCCCCGATAGCAGCAGCTCAGCAACTCTGCATGTAGACATACATATTCTCTTCACTACTTCAACAAAAAAATCATCGCATCATTCTAGGCAAGTAGTCCCCATCCAAAGCTGGTGCAGTCACTAAGGTTGCGATGAAAACTTGCTGGGATGTGATTACAAAATAGTACCATTCTAGTGACACTAGAAGGCGAAAAGGAGCTTGAAGTGATAACATCCAGCCCACTGCTCTTGCGCAGGGCATTTAAATGAGTCAGAGGTAAAAAGCACAGAGAAAAGAGAAAATAAAATTGGCGTGCCAGCTGAATACACCTCAGGTCACTTGCTCCCAGGTGAAGCAAAACAGAATGCGGCACTATCTACAAGCCCATACAATGTTTTAAAAATGCCAGGAACAAGAAATAGTTATGATAACCTCACCAAATGTGATACAGCACATCGGCTTTTAACGAGAAGAATGCAGGAAATAAAAGACATCAATGTTCAACTGGGCACACTGTCTACCTACCAAAAGAGTGTTATCAGAGTGGACTAGTTGGTTTTCAGTAATAAAAAAGGCCAAGTGCAAAAACCCCGCATGTAGGATATATATTACCATGCTGCTATGAAGAAATGTCAGCTGGAAGCCCGCTACTTTCCTTGCAACTTCTTCATCTACTGCGTTAGGTTTTTGCAGAGAACCTCTTTCAAAAAAACAACTTGCAAAAGAACAACAAAAGAACAAGTTGCAACATTTCAACCTCTTATGCCTCCTCTAACACAATGAAACAATAGCCACATGACACTTTCTTACAGAGAAGACAGCATTTCAAATCGAAGAAAACAAAGTCACGCTGGTGCAAGAATTCATCTTGGCCACTGCAAGAAGAGACTCACTTGGGCACATGAAGTGGATTGTAGAGGTAGATTCGCAGAAAGGTCTCCTCTCTGTCGTGGAACCCGTAGAGGCGCCTGCACATGAATGGCCAGTTACTATCATCACCATATCATTATAATCGGGAATTAATCTACTACCAGGATTCCTCATTACCTCGACTCAATCTGACCCACTGTTTGTGAGAGTTAGCGCGATTTCATCTTGAGCAATCCATCAAAAAGAATGAAAGATGCAAAGGGGCAGGTGCCATCACTTCATTCTTCAATTTTTTTGTTGTTTTTTTTTTTGTGTGATGCATGAATTATCACAAATCAGAGAGTATATCAAAGATAAAACAATAAATCCGTTCAACTCAATAATGTTAACCTTGAAAGCTGTACTCTTGTTTATTTTGGGATGATAAAATAGCTGAGAAAGTTAAAGCTGGATTTTTTTAAAACACACCAGTGCACTGCCTCCCGCACATCAATAAGACATAACAGATTTTAAAGTATTTCGTTGTGTTTTCACCATGCCGCTTCAGCGCAAGTTCCAAAAGCTGACCATGTTCGACCATTGGCTACCTCTCTGTTTTACCAATAAATACTTGCTTGGTTGTAAACAAATGCTCATAGAACATGGAGTCATGGTGGGCTAGTGTAGAATCTTTGAGGCAGTGTTCCCCCAAGTCTTTCTTTTGAACACCACTTCTGGCTTAACATGACTACATTCAATGGCTGGGGCACTGCAAGCTGTGTGTCTTACAAAGGCGTACTGACTCTCAATCAACGTGCAAGTCCCTCAAGAGGAAAATTGTATGAAGTTCCGTTTGCAATTTTCAGCTATTCCTACGCATTTCCAACCACTTCACATGACTGTCACCAAGTTATCTATGAATTGTGCCTACTTTTTTTGAAAATCCAAACCTGATGAGGGGCCCTACGAGAAGTTTTGCTGGCACATGGAAAGATACTCTTAAGAACTAATTGATCTAAAATTACGAGCTGAAGTTAATTTCTGTGCTCCATTCGGGCATCATGCATATGCAGGCAGGTAGACTGCCCCCAGATTAAGAGTGTTTTGTTTTGTAAAATGTCTGCACTGTTCCCCGAAGCAGTTCAGGCTTGTTGGGCAATAACACCGGAGCGATTGTTGGGGGGGGGGGGGGGGGGGGCACCAAAAACCAAGGAAAAACAAACAAAAAAACATGAAGAAAAACAAAAGGGAATGGGAGGGGGGTCTCAACCGCAAGCGCCAACATCAGCATTGCAGTCTTATAGTGGCTAGAAGTAGCCGAACACACGAGGGTAGAGTTTTTCACTAAGGTGAGAGTCTCAAAGAATCAACACAACTAGCAGAATTTATTTATCTATTTTGGTCAAAACAACTCGCATGCGTCTTCCTGGGACACACGTGAACGGACGGGATGGCGCAGCTGGCTGCCGCAAATGCGCGGGTCAAACCTTTGCTCACTAATAGATTCGTTTGTGCACCTGTGCCTGTGCGCGCGCGCTTATTCTTTCGAGGGGGAATCGCATGCCTTTGGCTTTCACTGAAACGAAAGCGTTAGTTGCCAGGCCCACAAAGGTCGCTTTGGTCTTTCTGCACAGGCCCCTTTTGCGAAAAAAGCGCGATTTTCATGCATAGCGAGGTATACCAGCTGGGACACTTGTTAATTTATACTCATCGGTACCTGCGATTATATATCGTGCATCGTTTTTGCTTAAACAGCATGTTACGTGTAGAGCAGTAAATGTTGTTAGTTCGCTCTCGTCTTGCAAGTATCGTTTTCGTGCGTTATTTGTGTGAGCAGCGCACTGCACGTTTCAATCTACTTGCCGTTCTCAGCGTTACATTCCAGGTTATAGCTGTCGCATTTATTGTTTCGCACTTGCAACGAAACTGCAACTTTTAAAAAAATTTTATGCATTTACTGCTTTTAACCTACCGCTGCATGCCCTCGAAGCTCGTAGATTGATCTCGCGTCGCCGCGACTGCGGTTTTGTGCACGGCGGTTGCGGCAAACGGTAGTTCATTTTACAATCCCCATGCGCTTGTCTGCGCACGTGTCTTCAAAACTAAGTTGTTTTATGCCATCTACGATAGCATCTGCCGCAGTTTTGTCCGCAGAGTTTGCAGAAAGCAGCGTTGGTTTGACTGGCTGAGCAGACACTTTCAGGGACACTGTCTGTTAAGTCGTCACCATACATGATCGTGTCAAGAGCGACCGTGGTTTCGTCCACAGTGGTCGTGGCAACGACAATCACATGCACTGTAAAAGACAGTGCATGCGCTGGTCGCACGCGTACTTTCAAAGCTTCGAGTACGCTGCTCTCGGCCTTCGTTTGACGGTTTCCATACTAAAGTTTGTATCACCCGCTGCGATTAGGAAACATGTTAGGAACATTTGAATTGAAGCCCAATGAACATAGTAAAATTTGGCTGGGGAATTTCAAGAATTCGTATCTGCCGCGGTTTCGCATCACTGAGATTATACTGTACGATAGTTATAGCGCGAGAACAGAACGATGACAAAGAGACAAGAAGGGCACGAGTGTTTTGTCGTCGTCCTGTTCTTGCGCTATAACTATCGTCATGTCATACCAACTAGCCCAAACTGCCACATTATACTATACGTTGAGATGAACGCCTCTTAACTCATTTATATAATAAAATGGGGCAGGTTCGAAAAGCCTGGGGCGGATTGAGCTGTTTTTTTGTCAATGCGGCCAGATCATGCGCAGAAATTTCAATTTCCGGAAGATTTTCATGACAACCGTACAACCGGAAAAAAGGGTCAAAATCCGAGAGTCTCCTGGCCAATCCGGGAGACTTGGCATGTATGAGACACCGACTGATGAGCTGAGACTGCCCTCATTAAAGAATGCAGTTTCAATTCATGACAGTACATAGCTTCTTTGTGTCATTCATGACTGTACTGAACTACTTCCTTTGATGATTACAGAACAAATGCTCCAAACAGTCATGATGACCAGCTTCAACACGCTGTCAAAGTTCACTGCAAATGGCACTCCTGAGTTGTTTTCTACTTTCACCAAGGCAAGCTGATTACAGTGTTTAAAGCTCAGAGCAACTTTCTTCAGCTAACGCACCGATATAGGCAGCATCCTACTCTTGGGTATTTCTCCTCCCGTTATTATACAGCACTTAGTCATTACCACATCAAGTTTTCTTGTTTGTTCAAAAAGAAAGATGCACTTCCCCTTCAGAAAAAGTTGTGTTTTGGCTGCATGACACAATGAAAATGTGCCTCCCACATTTTTGCGTCTTTACTACACACACATTTTTGAAGTGATAAAGATTCGCATATCTCATTTTCCCAGGAAAGAACTTGTGCATTCAATTAGCTTACTCGAAGGGCCTTGAGTACAACAAGAAACAAGGTACACTGAAGAAAAATTGCAACTTATAAGGCTTCTTTAGTATATTATACTTGACAGCTCAATAAATGTGTGATTTTAAGCTCTAAACAGCAAATTCCATTGACAAATGTGTCCTTTGCTTTTTTTTTAATTGCAGAAGAAAAATATTCAGCACAGCCCATGACAAAAAAAAACTTGTGTAAAATTTTTTACAGTGACCGTGAAGCAAGAAACATATTTTCCAAAGGTATATAATTATTGCTTATTCATGAAATGTAGTAATAAATAAGTAAAATTACATTAATTATTATTCATGAAGTTTGTCAATCAAAATAAATACGTCTCCCAGTTAGAATGATAGGCTGATATGCTGTTACAGAGGTGGAGGGGGACTAGTATATAGTGGCACTGTTTGCATTCCCAGCACCCACCAGTGAACAGCTGAAATTGCACACGTACAGTGAACACAGAAGCTCTGGTCAAGATGTCATCAACATCAGTTATTTACCAGTGAAAGAAACAGAAGCTGCCCGAGGGACGAAAACAAACTTCAAGCTTTGCACACTCACAAATGCCGACATGCAAGCCTAACTAAATTTTGGGACAGAAACCAAATGTGAACAGCGTAAGAAAAAGATTTCCTGCCTTCCCCTGAAGTGGCAGCCTTTTCCAAATAACCCAACACTTTAAAAAAACTGTTTTGCATGCATACATACAGCACCATAAATATATGAAAGTGACAATTTTCGACTTGTCTGCGGTGCCCCATAGTATTTATCATCATTGACTTTTATGTGGTTGAACGGACGAAAGTCAGGTTGCGCCATTTGAATCAGTCAGTTCTCAAGAGTCAAAAAAAAAAATTAAACACTATCACACTATGTGTTTGCACTCACGTCCCACGAAAGACAGCCACATGGTGGACATGCCGGTGCATGCTGGTGGCCCGTCCAGCAGCCGTGTTGAGCAGCAGGTCGATCTCAGAGGCAAGCACAACAGCAAAACGCTCGGGCCGTGGCTCTGAGCATGGCACTGTCAAGTACGGCAGGGCCCCATGAACGTGGAGACATGCTTTCTGGCCTGCATTCAATTGAAATGCACTTAGAATCGGGACACCAACACAGCGCTTACACACATCACAAAATGACTGCTTCAAGTACAGTTTTCTTCCCAAGACAATAAAGCAACGGAGTTCGTTGCCAGGCTCGGTTATCCAACTCTGGTTATCCAACTTAGGTTCAACCACAATAAATGCAAGAAGCGAAAGTTATCTTGGCAATGCCAAGTTTCGTGGGCTGAAAGAGAACAGTTGCAGAAGGAGATATCAGAACCACCCTAATGCAATGTAACAGCACTGCAAAAGAAATCTAACGGCAGAACCATTTATATAAAGACTTCAGTGTCATAATTAGTGGTGGTAAAGTGATAGCCAATAATGTGAAGCCAACTTTCAGAACAGAATACATCTGATGTGAAGCCAACTTTCAGAACTGAATACATCAGGAAAACTCCGACTGCGAAAAAAATTCATTGCCAAATATGAGGTCGCAGGATGTGCATTCCATTGGTCATCTCCACAGAGTGATGTATACTGCAGTCTGATACAGCTGTGGAAGTCAGTAGCATTTGCTTCTCTGAGGCAAATGCCACAGACCTATGCCAATGGGCGTTCACTCCTGATTGACGTCACGAGCCTGACGGCCGTTGACTCCGCCTTCAAAGAACACCGCCCAGTGCATTAGCAGAAGTATTTTTCTTGTCGCGGAGCCAATCGGCTGCCGTGCTTCAATCTTCTGTGTGGAACCTCTGCAGACTTCTTAAAGGGGCCCTGTGAAGCCTTTTCATCTGCATTTTGCAGCACTCAAAATTATGTAACTCAAAAAGAATCACTGAAATTCAACGGATGCAAAAAGAATTATCGAAAGCGGTGTACTATGACGCAAGTTATTAGCCTTCAAACTTCAAAACCCCAGCAGAAGACGAGAAAAAACTTTCCCTTTCGCATTTCACTTTCCCATTGACATCGAAAACCGTTTGCAATCATCGCACACTTCTTACAGAGACGCAATCATCGCACACCTCTTACAGAGACGTACCGGACAACTTGCATCATTGTGGCCATTGTGCAGTTCTCCTAGCGTCACTTTGCAAATGTTTTCACTTTTTTTTCATATTTCAAAAGAAAAGTTTTTTTTCTACCTGAGGGATATAAAGAGTGCTCTCATAATTTTTAGCGCTCCTTAGTGTGATCTGTCTAGGCGCTCCTTAGTGTGATCAGTATCGTACACAACTTGTTGCGTCGAACCAATCAAAACGCACGGTTTATGTCGGCAATCTCACGTGGTGAAGCATCACTACCAATAATAAAAACAACCTCTCCGTGTTGCTCTAGTCCAAAAACAGCGTGGTTTCTCCATAAAAATAAAATTATAGCAGCTTCTTTTTTCACACAGCCACTCCTGCAATGATGTCGGTGCATTCAACAGTTGAAAAAAAAGCAGTGAAAACAACACGCTTATTTCTATCACAGAGCCCCTAAGTTGTATCCCACTATAGAAAGATGATGAAAGACGCTGCATTGATGCCACCCTCCAACAATGTTCCAGGGAAGGCCACAATTATGGAGTTTCGTTCAATAAAAGTCAACACCTATGTGTCCCTCAGAAAACTCCCAAAGAAGATGCTGAGTGCGTACTTTTGCTTTGCTTTGTTACTGGCATTTCTCTAACAATAAGCGCTAGAAAAAAGAATACTAACTGCAGCATGCCCCACGTCATTATTTAAAATAAATGATTCCATGAACCAGTTTGGCACCCAGGCGATAAAATAACTACATCATCTTTAATTGAATTCATGATTTCCAGCATATTCTACTGCCACCATACACAGGACTGAATATAAGGAATGGCAGAATAATTTTTTTTCTTGTACGAGTGGTGCCACTGTACCTAGCTTCATTACTAAAACTGTCAGCGAACTCTGAACCGAGCCAAGACATCGTGACGTCAACTATGCTGGAGTCAGCCTTTCAATATGTACTTCGTTATCAAATTCAAACACCTTGCAAACATTTCCAACGTTCCACACTTCTCAACGATCATTCCCTTACAAGTAGAGATCATCATGTACAGTTTTTTACAACTTGGAAAACGTTTATGAGTAACGCTCTAACAGCTTCAAGGTAAGAACTGCCACGGCATCTACTGTTCAAAGACAAAACAGACACTGAGAAATGCAAAACGAGGGAAGTGGCAAAATGAAATGAAATTACTGCTAATTTGCAGTGCAAGCAAAAAAAAAAAGATCAAGAGGAGTCCGCATCTGACCTTTACCAATATCACTGTTCAACATTGCAGCATTGATACAATGTTCTAGGTTACATCCATTTATGAAAGACCTACGAGATTACACCTCTCATTGTTACAACAGGTTGGCACTGCATAATATTGAAAACAGTGTTTCTGGTGCACAGCGATGCTGGTCTGCAACTTCATACAAATAAAACACTCAACATACGATCCCGAACAAGCTGAAGGAATGTGGAGCATTCGGATGAATTCTGCGTAGGACATTAAAGGAGTTGTCGTGCAAGCTGCCAACTCATAGGCATCTGTTAGTATCAGCTGAAGAGTAGCAACACTACGCAGATGGAAGACATCAGTAACGTAATGGTGCACTCGTGTTGAACACCACCTATGCTGTACAAACACCGGTACACTTTGATGCCAAAAGCAAATTAGGAGTCAGAGCAGTTAAAATCACTCTTCACTCGAAACAAAGTAAAAAATATTGCTGCTTTTCAATGGCAGCAAACTCCCTTGCCCTTTTCAAAAACTGACGTTTTTCTTCGAGGACATTACATGAACTTGCGAGAGAGCTTAAACTGGTTTTATGGAGGTTGTGGCTGTAAACATTTAATAACCTATAAATGGTTGCAGAGGCGATTGCGTTGGGGCCTTATTGGCCTCCTCCCCTCTCGGCACTAGGTGGAACCCCTAGCTACATTGGCAAGCAACGCCGCCAATGTTCGTTGAATCAGGGCCTTTTGAGCCATCAGGTCCTGACAGCCGAGCAGGGCCGCCTACCAGTCCTCTCTCGTGGGGTTGGGGGGGGGGGGGGGGTAGATAGATTTCACTGGCAAGCCCAGACTATGTAGAAGGTGTCAGCCACCTCTCCACAGAACTAGCATGTGCCATCAAAGGATGAATTGAAATGTTTTAGTATGAGTTGATTGAAAATGTCACTGCATTGGGCAGCTCATTGCATCAACAAATTATTTGTTTTTTTGTTTTATCACACATTTGATTCATCTTTGGCGCAGTCAGTCTTTCTCACCTTTCCTTTTGCCCTTAATCTCTTTTCCTTCGAATAAAAATATACCGCAGTGTCCTTTAAAAGTCAATACAAGTAAGATGCAGTGACCTTTGTTCTTTTCCACTGCCATTCATCTCCACTCTATTTCTTTGTTCAGGTTCACGGCACCTAGCAAAAAAGGGTTGCAGACAAACCAAACAATGAACAGTTTAGTTTAATAACAGCTGAAGTATAGACACACTTGATATAACACAATACAGCATACCCCGTAGAATCCAAGCCATTTACCGGCCGTGTCCTTATAGTATAGAGAGTTAAAGAAGGAGAGAGAGAGCAAGCAGCTGCAAGTTGTGTGGCCGGAAAAGCTGTTTTTCTGTAAGACTTCCAAGAAGGGTTCAGACCAGTGCAGCAACTTGGTCATTCAGATCTGTTCACAATTGTTTTATCAGTATAAACTAAATGTGTTAACTCTGTGCCTTTGTGGTGGCTCTTGGCGGAAGAACGAGACAAACAAACTTCGACAGCAGACACTCTATTAACTCTTGAGAAATACTTTTTTACAATAAGGAAAAAATGGCATCGTATGTGGTGGTGTTACCAACGGAGATCTCCGAAAGAGCATGCTGGGATGTGATGCCCATCGCAGTCTGAATGATATGCATTGCCTTGCACAAACCACCAGACTCTCGGCTGTACATTGCAGCAGGACGTGCATGCTCATACGCACCGTCGGCAGTGGTAGGCATCTTTTCTTCAACACAGCATGAGAGTGAAATTGAAAATGATGTGGCGTAGCAATGAGAACATGATTCAAGCCGTGGCAGCATCATTACGATGACAGCAAAATGAAAAAAGGATGCAAAAGGTTTCTCAAACGTTTGTGTTCATGTGATATATTCCATAATTGATAGAACACTAAAAAAATATAAAAAAATCAATTAATGAAGAAAAAGCAGCTAGACAACAGACTGGCCTATTAACAACTGTTTATTAGAAGATTTGAGGGGTTTTTACGTCTCAAAACCACCATAGCATTATGAGAGACACCGTAGTGGAGGACTTCGGAAATTTCAACCAGCTGGGGTTCTTGAACGTGCACTCAAATCTGAGCACAGGGGCCTACAGCATTTTCGCCTCCATCGAAAATGCAGCAGCCGCAGCCGGGATTCGATCCCGCGACCTGCGAGTCAACAGCTGAGTATCTTAGCCACTAGACCACCGCTGTGGGGCAACTGTTTATTAGAGGCACACATGACGAGCTTGTGCCCAGCATCAAAAGCACTTTGCCACCCTTAATAAATTTAGTGAAAGTGCGAGAAGCATGAGCACCCCACTGACCTACATGTCCCATGCTGTGATGCACAGGATGATGGCTCAACGCATGCCATTTTTTCCCCAAGTGGGCAACTGCAGAATAAGTAGCCCACACAGCAGAAGTACAAGGTGATCCATTTCTCATCACACCCTTTTGATTTCTTTGTTTAAAGGGGCACTGAAGAGAAATTACTCGGTTTAGACTGACAAACAACACCGTGAAAACTCTAATGACATATGTTTCACAATCACAAGTTCACTATAAGCACAGAAAATCAAGATTTAAAATCAAGGTTGAATTTCAGTTGCTTTTTTTTATTCTGTGCCGAAATCTCCACGCATAATGTCGAAAACTTGAAAATGTATTTTTTTTTTTTTTGTGACATTAGCTCGATGAAATTTCGTGCAACTCCATATGCTAGGTCCATGTCACACATAGATGACAATGTAAT